ATGATAATAAGAAATATTTTTAAAATAAATCATAATTAATTTTATGAATTTGTGATTAAATTTTAGAATAAAAAAAATTATAAAACAATAAAATGGAAGACAGACAAAACAAATGGTGAAAAATCGAAATAAATAAGATATAAAAGAAAAGCAACATGTAGACAATATTCATTAATTTATTTAACCTAATGATAATATAAATATTATTTTATTTGTATTAACTAAAAATATCTCTTTTTAGTAGATTAAAAATAATAATATGTTATTTATCAAATAAAGTGTACAAGATGATTTTGATATTTTTTTACTCTTTATACGTTATTTATAAATTAATTGTATCTATAATGATATATTTGTAATTTAAATAAAATTAAAATAACTCTGATGTTAATATTTGATTACTTATATTATAATTTTTTAATGTGACAGTAGAAAAAAGTAAAAAGAAATACATTTAGTTGAGACGGGTGAGTTCTAATTATTATACTTACTTGGCCGCGGGCTAACCCACTCTCAACCAACGGCCCACGTGGGTTGGCCCGTTTAGGCCCGCATTTTAACGGGCTAAAAAAATCACAACCCAACTCTCCTTAAAAGTGAGGTAGGGCGGACCAACCCGACGGACTCAACCCATTTTGACGGCTCTACACTCGAGTATCTTTCAAGAATGAAAATTCATTTTCAAAAATTAAATTGAAACTCAATAAATTAAAATTGTGAATTAAGAAAAAAAGGACCTCAATCCTGGCAACGTCGTCGGTTCTGGAATCGGCAACAACAGTTGTGCTCTTCTTTCTCTTGCCGCCAGCCTTTTGACCGTTGGAATCTGCACCACATTGCTGATCCCTGAAATTTTTCCCTAACATCATCATCGTCGTTGTATTCTAGGCCGGACAGAGAAGGTTCACAAATCCTACGTTGGCGCCGATTCCGCCTTGTGTACTTAACTGCGCCTTTTCTTTGGCCATGCGTTCAGTGGCGGCTGAGAGGTCCACCACCGGTGGGCTATTAAGCTTGATCTCTGCCATTGAAGTATGTATTGTTGTCTTTCCTGCCATTGTTGCTGTTTTTGTTCTCAAGGTAGTAATTTTGAAGGTATAGGTTTTCGACTATAGATCTTGTTTTATATGTGAATAGAGGAAGTATAGCTAAGGGTTGTTAGGTTTGAAAGCATGGTGCGTGTGCTGATATTAGATATCTTATTCTAAATATCATAGATTTATTTCCATGTTGTTTAATATTAATTTCTTTATTGGCCATAATGAATATTTAATTTATTCTTATATTTGGTATGTCAAATTATTGAAGTAAATAACAAAAAGAGGGGTTGAAGATTTTAACCTGTTTAACTTAATTGCCACATAAACTCATAACAATTGAATTTATACTTTGAAAATAATAAAGAGAAAAATATATGTTTAGTCTTATATACGATGTTAATTGTCATTTTTGTCGTCAAAACAAAATATGTATAAAGTACTCCCCTTTATTTAATCCATATTAACCAACCATTTATAGCAATATTATTACACCTTCAAAGCTAGCATGGAATAGCAAAATATTTGTTTTAATATCAAATACTAAGGTAAATTGAACACATTCTTGGTATTAAAATGGATTTATGCCAATAATAAATAATAATTGCTTAAATTATTAACACATTAAATTTAGAGGGATAGTAAATATAAATGTTTAAAAATAATAATACTAAAAATGAATTTTATATTCAAAATATTTCATCAATATTTATTTATATCACATCATACAACTAATTCGAACTAAAAATTCCATTAATAAATTCAGTGATCACCAAAATCAATAAACGACAATTCTCACTGCTTTTTCTACTTCTCTTGTATCTTCACTATGTTCATTTTTGTCTATGCAATTATTGTCTTGGCAATTTAGGGGCTGTTTGGTTTATGGACTTTTTTTTGTGGGATTGAGATTTTACAGTAGGATTTATATGTGATGAGATTTATTATATTTAGGTTTGGAATCTCATATTATGTTTGGTTGGTAAATTGTGGTGGGATTTACATTTCGTGGATTTGGATTTTTTATATTGTAAATGACATAATTGTCCTCTTATGAATTTTATTTATTTTGACAAATTAAACCTCTAATTCATTATTAATATAAATTGAAAATGTGTAAATAATTTTATAGGACGACAATAGATTCGTGTAAACTCGAGACTTTACCGAGCTCGACCTATTTATTTGAAGTTGAGTCCAATTATTTGAGTATTAGGCCTGGATTCGGGTCATGATCAGGGTAATATAATAATAATATATCAACCATACATATGAAAAAATAATTTCGAATAATATAATTATATTAAAAATATTTTTGAGTTTAACGTATTCATTATTTTATTATAATATTTTTCTAATAAAATACATAAATTTTAATATACATTGGATATGGTACATGAGTAATTTTAAATTAAAATTTAAAAATTGTAAAAAATGGATTTTTCGGATCCATCAAGTCTTACCGGGTATAGTCTCGGTCGGATCTAGTATAATCAGATCCAATTTGAATCTCGGATTTAACAATATATATATTTGGAATGAATATCAGTTCCGACTAAACCCGACTTATGATCGTCCCTATAATTTTATAATTTAAATAAAATTTATAATAAATAATAATTCAAGAATGAGATTTAAAAGTAACAGGGGTATCTCCATTAAAAAAAATCCCTTATTTGTAGGATTTTTGACCCTTTTTCAAATCCCATCATTTTAAATTCCACATTTTTTTTAACCAAACATGGATTTCATGAGATTTTAAAATCCAAATCCCATGGAATCCCACCAAATAGCTCCTTAGGGGCTGTTTGTTTCGAGGATTTGATAGGATTTCATGGGATTTGGATTTTAAAATCCCATGAAATCCATGTTTGGTTCAAAAAAAATAATGGAATTTAAAATGATTGGATTTAAAAACATGGTTCAAAATCCTACAAACGAGGGATTTATTAGTAATGGGGTATCACTATTACTTTTAAATCCCATTCAATTGGATTTTCAATTTTACTTTTATATCCTTATATAAAAAAATATATTATATATTATAAATATATTTATATAAAATAAAATTAAATAATTTTAAAATATAATTTTTATTTGAATTATATATTAAATTAAATTAATATTATTTTTTATGGTACAATATTTTTTAAATAAATTAATAAATTCATTGTTTTAATTGTTATTTATTATAAATTATAAAATTATCGATGACAATAAGTCGGATTCAACCGAAACTGAGATCCGTCCCGAATGTATATATTGTTAAACTTTAGATCCAAATTGGATCTGATTATACTAGATCCGGCTGAAACTATACCCGGTAAAACCCGATGGATCTAACAAATCTAATTCTTTTTACTATTCTTAAATTTTAATTTAAAATTACACATGTACCGATCCGATATATATATATTATTTATGTATTTTATGAAGAAATATTATAATAAAATAGTAAATAAATTAAACTTAAAAAATATTTTTAATATAATTATATTGTTAGAAATTATTTTTTCATATGTATAGTCGATATATTATTAATATTATAAATCGAGTCTAGGTGCGGGAATAGTCCGCTTAGACCCTAGACCCGATTCGGACCCGATTAGAATACCCATAATATGACCCGAATCAAGATCTAATACTCAAATAATTAGACTCAACTTCAAATAAATAGGTTGGGTTCGAGTCGGGTTTCGAGTTTACGATAACCTATTGTAATCCCTATAAAATAATTAATACATTTTCAATTCATATATATTATAAATTAGATGTTTAATTTATCAAAATAAATAAAATTCACAGGGAAACAATTATGTCATTTAGAATATAAAAAATCAAAATCCTTCCGCTCATATAAAAAACAAACAAGACGTAAGAAATATAAATCCCACATAATTTTACCAACCAAACATATAATAAGATTTTAAATCCTAAATATAATAAATCTCATCACATATAAATCTGCTGTGAATTTCAATCCCACAAAAAAAGTTCATGAACCAAACAACCCCATTGACATTGACATTTTCTGCTGTTGATGGACTGTTCCTCTCATAAATTGTCTCGTACAGGCCCGGCCCTGGGCCAAGGCCAGAAGGCCCTTGCCTAGGGCCATTCCCTCTAGGGCTAATAAAGGGCCCAATAATATATGTTTATATATACTCCTATATATTAATATGTATTATTATTATTACTTTTATAGAATATATAAAATAAAATTTTAAATAAAAATTTATTTTATAATTATTTTTAAATAAATGATTTCTATATTAATTTTTAAATTATTTATTTGTATATTTTAGTGTGTTTATTTAATGGTACAATTTTATATATTTTTGTGAATTATGTAAAATTAAGAAGATATGATAGGGTAATATTTTCTGTATTCTTGTTATTTCTATTTTTATGTCTATATATTTAAAATTTGTATATTTTATTATATTCTTTAGTAGTATTTTTAAAAATTTGTGTATTATATAAACATTGGGTTTGTTTATTTAATCTGAAGTTTCTAATTTTTATTATTAGGACTATGTGTTTCTCGAAGAAATATATTTTTCTCCCTCACAAACATTCCATCAAATATTATTTCAATATAATTCAAACAAAACTTTTCCCTAAACCAATAAAAAGAAACAAACTCTTAATAAACGGTTTTGTTTGAAAATTTTCTTTTTAAAAACTTTTGATTGTTTACAAAAATATTCTTGAAAAAATATTAAATCAAATATTTTTTTATTTTTATATTATACTAAACATATCACATTAATTTTATATTTATATGTTGATCTTTTAATAAATAAAAAAATATTTTATTAATACATTTACATAAAAAAAAATATATAAAATTATCATATTATATTATTATAATATAAAAAATATTTAAGGACCCAATATTCTAATTTTGCCCCGAGCCTAATAAGGGTCAGCAACGGCCTGGTCTCATTGCATCGGATAAACTTGAATATGAAGCTGTGGTGATCCCAAGTTGGAATGTACTAATACACTACAAAAAAAAGTACTATATTTGTAACAGAATTCCGTCTCTAAAGTTTGCGTAGCTAATGTAATTCCATCCCTAATTCCGTCTCTAATGTCATTAGTAACGGAAAAAGTGGATTTAGTGACAAAAAAACCTTGTTACAAAATTGATATTTTCTTGTAGTGATATTACCATTTCCGGAACAGGAAGCGCCACCGGTTGGCATCCACAGCCGATGGACATTGAAAATTCAGATAAACTAATGACATTCTCACATTCCCACCTCTGGTGGATTCACTAGATGGCATCTGCTGTGTGGCAACAATTTCTCCATGAGATTGCCTAGCTGATGAGGTAATTCATTGGAAGGATTCGTCATTGCTACTTAATGACATCTCCCATAGATTGGATGGAATTGACACCGGCTACGAAGCAGCAACTTTCCAAGCCTCCGAGCCCAGATCAGCAGCAAATCATGGTAGGCTTCATGCATAACCCATAGGATCTTGCAAGCCTCTTGATAAACTCTGAAACACAAATCATTCTAAGAACTGTAAGCTTATATTATTGAGGATGCAAATCAAGTTATTGAAAAAGCTAGTTGAAATGATATTTGAACATACCGGTACCAAGCTTATGTTTTTCCAGCCCTGCTTAACATCTGTCCTTACAACTGAAGCTGCAAGTAAAGAGACAATCACATCAATCTAATTTGCAAGACCCTTAATGTGAAAATGAAATTTTAGAAGCAGCAATTGTGCTATAATACACACAAATGTACAAACCTGGGAACTCTCCATTCCATTTATTAGCCGATGGGAGGAGCTCAGTTGTTGTTGTTGTTTAGATAATTTCGGCACCTTTCTCAAATTAGAATGACCAGAGCTTGTTCCCTGGTCCTCTTCAGTTGCCGATCCATCATTTGCCAGATTCTTACCCTTTAACTTTAACGACCTTTTATGCACAGCTTGCAGCAACTGCAATTCGACCTCCTTATGCTTCTCCTTCTCCTACACTTTGTCTTTGCCCTCATGATCTTTAAAGCTTCCGAACTCTTCGGCGGCTAGCTTTTGTATGGCAAGGGCCTAAATACATTCATTCGATTATTTTTCATAGCATTTCACAAAAGTAACAAAAGAAATGGAAATGCAGTATCAACCACACATTCCAAACCCTAAACCCTAATCCATAGGAAAGACTGCAAACCTGCTTATGGTAGACGGTATAAGGTTTGTTGTATAACATTGTATTGGAACATAGCAACTGAATGTCATCCTGAAATCACAAACATAATGAAAATAATGATAATGAGAGTATTAGTTACCATTGCAGCTCCACAATGATTAATTAAGCTATGGAACCAATTAACCTCCAAGTCCTCCAAACCAGGGGCGGAGCTACGTCGGAACCCAGAGGATCCGCTGCCCTCCAAACCCGGTGCTCGCCGGTCGATCTCCATATAAATATTTTAAATAAAAACAAATATGTTTAATATACTATATATATATATATATTTAAAATAAAATTCATAAAATTTCTAAATGGCATTAGAGTCAGAAATAGGGCTCTAAATGGCATTAGAGTCATAAATAGGGCTCTCAACTTGATACAGTAGGAAGCTCAGGCTTTCAACGTTGTTAGAGTTAAAAGTAGAACTCTCAACGAAATTAGATTCAGAAGCAGCGTTCACAACTGAATTAAAATTGGAAACAAGACTCTCAACGTCCCTAAAATTGGATAGGATTCTCAACATCGTTAGAGTCGGAAACATAATTCTGTCATTAAGGATCGAAGTGGCGGCAACAACATGGTGAAGATAGATGCCTAAAAATCATATCAACAAACATGGAAGATAACTAATAATTGATGTATCCGGAGAAAAGTTTACTTTGATAGTATGTTGTAATATGAAAATAAAATTCTCTATATCAATTATAAGAACTTGTTCATATTTATATTGATGCACAAATTGTTTACAAGTCTTTTAAATAAGAAAAAGGCTGCAGTTAGGGGGTGACAAGATCAAATCAGCACCCGTGCTGATTTGACCATGTAAGCAAATCTACATGAAGCAATTAAGAATTCGTCACAAAGCAGATAGTATAGGATATTAATTTGAAGTAATTAGCATTTCATCTCCAGGCAAACATATTTGTTTATAGGGTAAAATTACTTTTGTGCGAAATCATGGTATATTTTGCTAAAAATAGAATATATTTTGTTACATGTAATTATATGTTGTACTATTAAAATATATGTTAATATTATATTAATATTTTCTACTTTCTTTATAAATATTTGATGATCAGATCAAATCAGCACTATGTTGTTTTGTCTTAACATATTTAAAACTTATATTCCATCCAAAAATTTTAGTTAGGTTTATTGTTGACTTAAATTTCAACAAAAATACAATTTAACCAATAAAATATTTAATCTATTCAATCAATTCGTACTTTAAAAAAATAATAAAAATTGATATAAACTTAAATTTTAGTTTTTTAACACTTCCAGAAAATTTGCTATGGCTATTTTTAATTAAGCCTCGGAGTTTATCTCGGATTGGTACCCAAGGCTAAAAACTCGATGCTATTTTGAAAAGTCTCAAAAATTCCGAGGCTATTTTAAAAGACTGAAGATTGTTGAAAGATCCTCAGTGTTATGGGAGATGCTCCAATAGTGTGAACCCTGAGCTTTTAAATTTGGAGCAGAAATCTCGGTTGCCTGGAGAGCGTCTTTGCACCGAGGACACTCTAGAGTACACATTTTTGTACTCAAAATGTGTCTTGTACTTAATGCATGATGTCCAAAATGTGTTTCCATCTTCTTGGTTGCACTCCTTTTCTGGCTCTACTATCAAACACCGAACTCATGGTTAACACAAGAACATATGAGAAAAAGGAAAAAGACAAAAAATTAAAATTGATATATACTGCATGGCTTATATATGATAATCCAAATGCCACAATTAACTTGTAGTTTTTACAAGGAATATCGCAATATTTTTTCATACATCTATGGAAATTGTAATGACAGAATACATTGCTATTTATTAACAGCAGAAAATCTGATGATTTGCATCTCGTAGATTCGAAGTACCGACAAATGAATAGGATCAGTAAAAGCTTTATAGAAGTGAAAGCATATATGCTAGGTATATTCGATTAAAAAAAAAAGGTCAAGTAACTTGAGAGATAATAAAACTATTGCAATTTATAACTTGAATGTTCAAACTATTGTAAAGGATATCTAATTCCAGAGTTAACTTCATATTAATTGTGCGGGACAAAACAAGAATTGTCGTAATTGATAATATTAAGTTACTAAAGGGAATTAGCCGAAATATTGCAAATCTTAATTGCAATGAGAGAATAAATCATACATAACAACAACAACAACAACAACAACAACAATAATAATAATAATAATAATAATAATAATAATAAAGGAACAGTGATATGCATCTCTACATGTCATTAAGTAACTAGAAATAAAAAGTGCAAATGAACAAACTTATATATCAAAATAATTTTTAGAACAAGTAAGACCAAATACCTATCTCTTCAAACTTGTTATTCTTTTAGCAACCAAATGAAATAAAAAATAAGTATTACAACATAAATACACTTTATTAATTAATGTAAATACGACAAACTTAATCAATTCAAAAAAGGGATTCATTAAAGTGAATACAACATTCTTATAAAAGGATAATGTAATTATTATACGTAATATTAAAAAGAGATCATTAATGGGAATCAGTGGACATACTTTACTAAAATTACGTATATAAAAATGTATGCAGTTTCCATTTAACCATTATTACATTGACTTATTGATAGATGGTTGGTATGCTTACAATGGCTCTCATAGAAAAGGGGAAAGAAGTGGCTTATTTGAATGGGGATTTGCGGGATTCTGTCTGCGGAGGAAATGCCGATGTTGGCATTCGGTTACATAGTGACAATTCGGCTGGCATTGGAGGTCGGGTTCGATCTCTGAGTAGGACCAACAAATGCCAGTCGTATGAGTTGAGTGATTTGTCTGGAGATGAAATGGGGAACTTCGTGGATGATGAGGATGATCAAGACTTTACTCTGACAAGGAGGCAAAAACTGAAGAATCAGAAAAAAAGTGAAATTCAAAAGGATAGCGCGCCAGTGAAGGCTTCAGGGCAGCATTGTAATAGAATGCCGAAAAGAAAGATGGCAGTGAACGCTCCTTAGAGGAAGAGAAAGCAGAGGAGGGTGGGTGGCAATAATGATGACCGAACAGTCAAGGCAGAAGCGCACTTAGTCTCAGCCTCAAATGCCCAGAGCCCGAAAGCTACACGGATTTGCAATAGTGGCGGTGATGGAGAAGATATGCCATATTGGCTTAAGGAAATGACAAAGTTTATGACAGGGGCTAAAGCTCTTATACCACTTTTAATGAAATTTAAGGATCGGAAATGAGATTTTATTAACGAAAAAACAACGAAAAATGGAAATAAACTTTGAACTAGTTTTGGTCTTAGGCTCAGCCTCCAAAACTACTTTTCGACAGAAATCAACACAAATCACACCTAAAATGCGACGAACACAAAGGAATCGGCCCTAAACCCGTGATACACAAAGAAAAATACTCCCACAGGAAGATACAAAGTGAAACATAAACAAACTAAACGCCTACAGCGTTGAACGAGCCCTTTGCGGCTACCAACAACAATAAACAAGGGGAAAGAGTCATGCCAAAGGAGCTCCACAAGATTACAGGAGGAAGGCACCGCCGTGAACTGCCGTAAACCGTTGCAAACCGCCACCGGAGAGAGAGTATGTGAAAAGAATGAGAGAGGCTAGTGAGAGGGAGGAGAGAATTGTAGAGAGAGGGTTGAGAGAATGAATATTACTGACGGCGCCTCTCCCCCTCTCAATATATATATATATATATGTAGGTCAAAATAGGATGAACTGCCAATATCTCTAACCTAGATCGGACGGTGAGGATTAAGTCTAATAAAGATGCGGGTCATGGGTTGCGGGTCGCGGGCGTAATATGTGTTATGCAACATGGGCCTGGGCGAAGATTCTTTTGGGCTGCAAATTAAGTGAGATTTTGTTTTTTGGGTGGATCCAATTGAATTAAAATCCAACAAATCCTCCACCTTATTTTAATCCGAGTAGCTGGGGTCATAATTGCCCATAATTTTGGATTACTTACCTATATAAAAAAAAAAGAGATAAACCAAGAAAAAAAAAACACATTAATTTACCCTAACATCTACACACGTGTAGAATACAACTAATCAAATGTATCAAAACATATTATTTTCCAACAAGATACAAATTTATTAATTTTCCAGAATATTGTATCTACAACAACAAGAATACATTCAAATCCAAACATTAACGGAACTACATTGTAAATGTGTTGTACAACCAAAATATATAGTACACAATTTACAAACAAAACCAGTAGCAACCTTTACAAGTTTCATATAATTCACAACCAATGATAACATAATACAAAGAAACCAATAGCAAACCTTAGGAACTGTTTTCAAACAATTATTATTAACTAATGAGCTCTTATCTTCTTTTAACACTAAATATTGAGACTTACTTTCGGAAATAAACAATTTCCTACCACTCAGAGGTGTATCCACATCTAAGTTCTCAAACATACCTCTAGGTAAAGAAGATGAATCAAAATTTCAAACATAAAGAATAGTTTAGGTCTATTCTTAACCTCATCTCTAACCAATAGGTAATTTTCAATCTCATTACTATGATTTGAAACAATTCCAACATTGCTTTCAATTCCAGAAATTGTATTTTCTGTTTTACTCACAACAAGCTGGCCAGCAACAGATAATATTGGAAAATCATCAACGAAAATATCAGTTTCTCTATATAAAATAAACTCCACATCATTTTGAACACTATAAAAAACAATACTAATTTATCTCTCAAATTTGATATTATCAGTTTCAACATTAATTTGAACAATTTCAGCCGATTGAACACAATTTTCATCAGAAACATAATTAATATCATCACAATTAAAATCACAATTTTCACTCAACCTCTGAATTTTCGTTTCTTAGAACATACACACTTTCAGCAACACTACAGTTAATTACTTAATCAGTTTCAGCAATTTCAATGTCAACAAATTGTATATTTTTTGATTCACGGACAACATGCTGAATATCAATACATTCAAAATGAAAATCAAATTTACGAGTTTAATTCCTCCATTTTCTATATCAATCAAATTATGCTCCACCTTATTTCTAATATTACAAAAAAAATATTAATTTCAACAGTTCCATAATCAACCAATTCAAATTCTCCAATATTTAAACATGGCATACAACATTCTTTAAATGTCACATAATTACTAATAATAGTTTTAAATCCGGGTTTAGAACTTAACCACAATCTATACCCCGTAACACCATAACCGAAGAAAACACAATTTTCAGTTTTCATTTCAAATTTATCAATGCAAATATGTATCACATCAAGATGCCCAAACACACGAACATTAGATTTGTCAACTACTCTACCCAACCATTTACTTTCAAGAATTTCACCATTAAGGGGAATAAAAGGTGTTCGATTTAAAAGATAGGCTTCGACATCAAAAGACATCCATCTCTTTCCAAAAGAGTCTGATTTAACCTCTTAGCAACCCCACTAAATTGGGATGCCTTGGGGATAGATTCAAAATTGATACAATTTTGCACATAAAAATTACTAAACCAGGTGTTACAGAAATTTAAACCATTGTTAGTTTTAATATATTTAATTTTTCTGTCAGTTTTAATTTTAATTTGAAATTTCCAATTCTTGAAAATATTAAACAAATCAGGTTTATTTTTCAATAAAAAAATCCAATTTTTTCTAGAAAAATCGTCAACTACAGTTAAGATATATCTACTCCTACCAGGAGTAGATTCATTAGAAGTTTCAAATATATCTATATGTATACATTCCAAAAATAGTTTCGAAAAAATATAATTTTCAGGGTTTTTGGAAGAAAATTGAATTTTATTTAATTTTCCAGGTTTGTATAAATTACAAGATGGAACAATAGAAAATTTCTCATTTGACTTAATCAACAAATTTCTACATAAATGTAGCAAATATGAATATAATGATACAATACATAGCATATATTTTAATAGCATAATATATAATTAGATATAGTATAATATATATTTTGATTTCAACATAATATATCTGATTTCATCATAATAGTAACTTCACTCAATCAACAAATATCTATAAAGAAAGTAATAAATATTATTATAATATATAGAAACATAACATATGGTATTTGTTTTGTGATTTTTAGATGATATAAATGATCGATTCGGTCATTTACATCATCTAACATGGTATCAGATCCTTAGGTCTCGAGTTCGAGTCCCACCGTCCTCTATTTGTCGTTGTCCACGTGCAAGTTTTGTGAGGGGGTGTGTTGGTGGCGTTTATCAACCTTGCATGTGAGGGCGTGTGTTGGTGGACTCCCGTCAAGTAAATCAAGCTCCCTACACGTTGGCGATAAATAAGGCAAGGTCATATCCACTAGAAGTGGAGGCAATGCCATATAAGAATCCTCAAAAAGTTCACCATGGAGAAAGAAATTCTTGACGTCCAACTGTAAGAGAGACCACTCACTACTCTGCAGTTCTGCTTCCCTATGTTAAGGGAACATTATCTAGTTACTATGATGCTGATTGGGAGGCGATCCTACAGATTGTTGCTCTATTATTGGTTTCTGCTTTCTTTTTTGGTTATTCTTTTGTTTCTTGGCGTAGCAAGAAACAAACAATTTTCTCTCGTTCAAGCACCGAATCCGAATATTGAGCCCTTGGTGATTCTACTCCTGAGCTTTTGTGGCTTCGTTGGTTACTTGATGATCTTGGTGTGCCGAAGTCATCTCCTATTCCTCTGCATTGCGAAAATATGAGTGGTACCTAGATTTCTCATAATGATGTTTTTCATGAGCGCACCAAACACATCGAGATTGATTGTCATCTTGTTCATCACCATGTTACTCATGGCAAAGTCAGTCTATGCTCTATCTTCTCTGACGATCAATTGCAAATATTTTCACCAAATCACATCATCATGCTCAGTTCACTACAAAAGAATATGTAAGCTACAATAATTTTAATTACGAAATCTTTTTGTAGTTAAAACATTTCATTTGGCAGCGAAAATTAATTTCATTGATACAAATAAATTATCTATTACAAAATTAATTTTTTCTCTAAAATGTTTTTGCTAAAATTTTTATTTTCATAGTAAAAAGGTTTTAGCTACAAAATTAATTTTTATAGTTAAAATCATTTCGCGAAAAAAAAAAAAAATCATGCATATTTTGTTTCTAAAATTCTTTTGTAATAAAATTCTTTTTATAGCAAAACTTTAACCTTTTTTGTAGTGGTTCCAGTCTCTCTTACACTAACTTTAACTTCTACAGCACCAAATTAAGTTTGAAAATGATGTTGAAATATTTATTATTATATACTCCCTCCGTCCCACCGGAATTGAACCCTTTAATTAGGGACACCGTATTTAAGGTAAAGATGTGTAATTAGTTAATAATAATGAGTTATGATATTATTATATTATTTTTTATGTAATTAATAATATTTATAATTTTAAAGTAAATTTAATATATATGATTAAAAAATTAAAATATATGTTCAAATATTTAAAATTATATAGTAATTAAAAATTATATGCAATATGGATATCATTTTGTAAAAATAATTTTTTCTATAATACAAGTAAATAAAAAAAATATTTTTGTTTATTTATAATTAACATAAAATCAATTTTATAAAAGATATGTAGTTTTAAATATAGATTAAAATATTTATTTTTTTTTTGAAGAGAGAGATAGAAATAAAGGGGTTTTGAGAGGTCTACGTCTTTTATGATGTTATATGTTACATAGTTAACTTAGTTGATTTATATTTGTAAAATATGTTTTTATTTAATAATTTTTACCAAAAATAAAAATGTGTCACTTGTTACGGGACAAACAAAAATGAAAATAGTGTCAATTGTGGTGGGACATAAGAAGTATTTATTAGCTAGAAACAGGCCTTGGTTTTATTATAATGTAATTAATTATTTTCCTCCCTAAAATTATTTTAACATGGTATAACGTATTAGTTCTCGAGTTCGAGTCTCACCGTCCCTCGTTTGTTTTTGTCTATTTGCAAGTTTCGTGTGGGGGCGTTTATCTCCTTGCACGTGAGAGACGTGTTGGTGGACTCCCGTTTGTAGATAAATAAATAAATGATGAGGATATATGACAGTTTAAGCTTTTAGATAGTCGGTCATTTACATAAATATACTATACTATCTTCTTTGTGACGAATTACTAATTGTTTCATATTGATTTCCTACCTTGGTAAAATTCATACGGTGACCTTCCTCTAATAGTTAAACAAAACATTAAATCGTAATACTCCCTCCGTCCCACATATTTTGGGCACGTACTGTAGATGTAGATATGAGAATTTAGATAAAGTATTAGTAAGTAATTAAGTATTATATTACTAAAAGTATTTATTGTTTGATAAAAATAATTATAGATTAAGATTAAGATAATTAAATAGTTTAATTAAGATTAAGAAAATTATAAATTATGATATTTAAAATATGATTAAAGTGTATAATAATTTTTCCAAAAAATGAATAGACAAATTATGTGGGACGAACGAAAATAGAAAATAGGAATAAATTATGTGGGACGGAGGGAGTAGTATTATTAATATCATTATTATTTTTTTTATTATTACTACTACTATTATTCCGAGTCTATTAAACATCTTTTATCTACTATAATTTTTAATATATCAAATGTGAAAGTGTTAAATGAAAA